GTATAATTTTAATATTTACATTTTTATACGTTTAAAAATATATTCTAGATTAGTCTGTAATAACATTTTAGGTAAGTGGAAACAAAAACTTTAAATGAAATTTTAGTTTATTCACCAAACAATAAGCAACACTATTAAAACATTTATTAATGCTTGAATGTGATCTACATTCTCCACATAATACATATTCCACATTTTTATTTTATTTAGATATGGTTTCTGCCACTATTAAAATGTATGCCAATAGCTGGTCTCGGTATCAAACCCATTTAGTGTGGGGTTTACTATATGTTCTTTTCAGCATCGCTTTATCTTTATTGTGCATTATATTAAACAAATCATAAAGAAAGAAATGGAATTCTATTCATAGGAACCCATTACTAGAATAGCTTACTATACAATAGCGTTAACTCCATAAATTCTAGACATCTACACTAAATAAGACTTGGGTCACAATAATAGAGTTAAAACAATTTGTAAATTCTAGTTTTGCTAAATAAAACGTCAAAATAAAATGTAAAAATAGACTAAAACATGACATATTTACCTAGTGTAACGGTTTAACTCTTGCTGTTTTTAAGTCTGGTATTAGAAGACGTTTTATTTAAACTGCATTTAAAAAGATTTCAGCTTTAAATGTAGTGTTTGGTTTGTGGGGTTACTGTGATCATTTCGATTCCGCCTTCTAGTCTGGAGACCTTGAAGAAATACTGTATAGTAGGCTACTATATATTATTATTATTTTCCAAATATGAGGTTAAAAATGTCAAGGCTTCAGTGTCAGAAATCGCGACTGTGAGGTCATTTCTGTCATCCAAGCATACCGATTGTTTTTCTTGCTGAAATACACTTTTCACTAAATGCAGCGGAAAAAGACACTGAAAATTAAATGCATACCATCATTATTATTTACCAAGTCATATCAAATAACTAATAATTTGACTGTCAATAAAAATTAAACTCTCAAAATGAGCTAAACCGATTTCATCGACACGTATAGCCTATATATTTCTCAGATTCAGATTACCGCTCGATTGAGCGTATTTTTGTATTGAATACGGGCGCCGAGAAAACATGACATTCTCGAAATACAAACGTAAAGCAAAACGAAACAAATATTAAGATGCATTTGTGC